CTGTTCCTCTGCCGGGAACACGCTTCCGGGCGCTCCTGCCAGTCCTGCCACCATCCCTGTCACCATCCCTCTCACACGCCCACTGCAGGTGTTTGCTTCCTGGTGGTCTGGCTTGGGAGAGGGAGGTCCCCAGTTCGGTGCTGGGTGCTGGCTACACCAAGAACCTGATAAGCACTGAGGGAGGGAGGAAGGGAGGGCACCGATGAAAAGAACAGGAACCGGAAGAGTGGCTCTCGCCTTACTGTCCCTCCTCATGTGCCCTGTCCTGTTCCCCCCGGCCTCCGTTTCCCCTGCGCCAGGGCAGAGAGCGGGCGGTGGGCGTGGGGTGGGGGGCGGGGAGCGGGGCCCACACTGCCGCCCCCTCTCCCCTCAGCCAGGTGAACATGAGTGTGTACAACCGCCTGGAGCTGCGGAACTCCTCCAACGTCCTGGGGGTCATCCGCGGGGCCGCGGAGCCCGGTGAGGCCCCCAGAGCAGCCCTGCTCGGACCCCACACTGCGCCCCGCCCCCTGCCCGGCGGGCCCGCCCTCTCCTCTGGTCCTGATTCTACTCCTCCGGCCAGACCGCTACGTGCTCTACGGGAACCACCGGGACAGCTGGGTGCACGGCGCCGTGGACCCCAGCAGCGGCACCGCCGTCCTCCTGGAGCTCTCCCGCGTCCTGGGGACCCTGGTGAAGAAGGGTGAGCCTCCCCTGACCCAGGCTCTCCCCGGGGTCACCTCCAAACCCATCCTCCTCGCTCTGGACACCCTGCCCACCTCCCGCCTCATTCTCCCGTGCCCGCTGTGCCTGAGCGCCCTGGGGGCAGACCCAGCCCGGCCTCGGCTAGCCCGTGGGCACAGGGAACGGAACGGACCGCTGAGGAGTTCGTCCAGGAGCTTCTGGCGCCGGTGGTGCCCCGGATGGAGGGAGGCCTGGATGCCGCTGTGAGCAAGGCCGTGCGGGCTCTGCCCCCGAGCGTCAGCCCAGCTGAGGCAGGAATGACAGTCCTTGACTCAGCAGACACAGTCAGGCCGGGTCTAAGCACCGGGCCCCTCAGTGGCCCCTGGAGCGCCTGCTGTGAGGACCATGGGGATGGGCTGTAAAGACGTGTCTGAGGGGCACCAGGTGCAGGTCAGGGCAGTTCCGGGAAAGGAGAAGTTACTGTCTATTGCAGATGAAGAGGGAGGTGGGGGGGCAGTGGTTCCTAGGATGACGGGTTGGGAGGGAGCTGGAGCAGAGAAGGGAGGTGGAGGTGGAGGGTCGGAGGCCTTCTCACCTGCCTCTAGCGAAGAGGGAGGCGGGTGTGGTGTCCGGGTGGGGGACCACCCGCTTGAGGGATGCTGGTGCTGGGGGCAATGCTGGGGTGGTGGTGGGTGCACAGCAGAGGAGGGAGCCTCTGGGAAGAGTTGGCTGGAGAGGTGCCAGGATCTACCTCCAGCCCTCCAGCCTCTCCTCGTCCCCAGCCTTTCTGGGAGTCACCCCAGGCTGTGGGGGCCCCTGCCCGCTATCCCTCTCCCCCTCCCCCAGGCATCTGGCGGCCCCGCAGATCCATCGTGTTTGCGAGCTGGGGGGCGGAGGAGTTTGGGCTCATCGGCTCCACCGAGTTCACCGAGGTGAGTGGGCCTCGAGGTGGCGGTCGGGGCCCCGGGGGCAGCAGTTCCCGGAGGTGAGTGGGCCTCGGGGTGGCGGTCGGGGCCCCGGGGGCAGCAGTGAGGTGAGTGGGCCTCGAGGTGGTGATCGGGGTCCCGGGGGCAGCTGTTCCCGGAGGTGAGTGGGCCTCGGGGTGGCGGTCGGGGCCCGGGGGCAGCGCGGGCTGACTCCCCCTCCCGCAGGAGTTCTCCAGCAAGCTGCGGGAGCGCGCTGTGGCCTACGTCAACGTGGACATCTCCGTGTTCGGTGCGGGGAGCTGGGCTGACGGGGGCCGGGGGGCGGATGAAGGGGCTGGGGTCAGGTAGAGCCTTCTCTGGTCCTCCACAGCCAACGCCACCCTGAGGGCGCAGGGGACGCCCCCGGTCCAAAGCGTCCTCTTCTCCGCGGCCAAACAGGTGCAGGGGCGGGGCTACCGGTGGGCGGGGCCGGGCCTGAGCCTGGAGGCGGGGTTACCGGTGGGCGGGGCTGGGGCAGGACTGAGCTCGGAGGCGGGGCTACGTGGTGGGCGGGGCCGGAACTGGCACTCACTGTAGGGGCTGCGGGCGGGACCGAGCCTGGAGGCGGGGCTTGTGGGACCCGTTAATGGTTGGGGCGGGCGGGGCGGGGCCGACCCCCGAGACCGGATTCCCGTCCGGTCAGATCTCCGCACCAGGCCCCGGTGGCCTCAGCATCTACGACAACTGGCTCCGGTATTTCAACCGCAGCAGCCCGGCGTACGGCCTGGTGCCCAGGTGAGCCCGGGGCCGAGGCGGGGCCGGGGCCGGGGGGGGGGGGGGGGGGGGCGGTCCAGCAGCCTCTGCCCATGCACCTTCCTTCCCGCAGCCTGGGCTCCCTGGGTGCCGGCAGCGACTATGCGCCCTTCATCCACTTCCTGGGCATCTCCTCCATGGACATCGCCTACACCTACGACCGGGTGAGCGGCACCTCCTCTCCCGCTTCCCTAGCGCGGTCTGAACCCGGCTCCTTCGCTCAGCAGCTGTGCTCCCTCCACCAGCTTTCCTCTCTGAGAACCTGCTCATGCTCCTCTCACTTACCAAACCTAAGGCGCTATGACTGTGAGATGCACTGTTAGGACGTGCACTGTTCAGGAGCGGGGAACTGCACTGCCAATGAGGTGTAGATTGGCGCTGACTGTAAGCATCTTGATTCCAGAATCCTTAAAATATGAAGAAGAAAAAAGCTTCTCTCAGAATAGATGAAGTGACAGTGTAAACGGGGGACAGCTCAGCCCTGGTGTGAGAGAGCAATGAGATGGGGCTTACAGAATACCCAGCCCGTGTCTCCACAAGCATTCTCTCCCCTTCCCGTGCCTGGGAAGTGAGGCAAGATTAAACCCTGACTCCATGCCGAAACCGGTTTGGCTCAGTGGTAGAGCATCGGCCTGTGGACTGAAAGGTCCCGGGTTCGATTCCGGTCAAGGACATGTACCTTGGTTGCGGGCGCATCCCCTGTGGGGGTTGTGCAAGAGGCAGCTGGTCGATGTTTCTCTCTCATCAACGTTTCTAGCTCTCTAGCTCTCTCCCTTCCTCTCTGTAAAAAATCAATAAAATATATTTTAAAAAAATTAAAAAAAAAAACAAAAAAAAACACCGATTCCAAAGCTCCGGCTCTTCTTCACGCAAAACAAGAATCGGGCACCAGATCCAGCTCTGCCCCTGGTTAGCTGTGTGACAGCAGGCAGGTCCCTTACCCTCCCTTAGTGTCTATGAAGTGGGAATTCTGAAACGGCCTCCTGGGTGGGGCAGTGACTGGAGGGACCGTCTCTACATCGTAGCTCCTGTAGGGACACCTCCTCCCACTCCCCATCTCACGCCTGTTACCTCTGGGCTTTGTTTCTCCAGAGCAAGACCTCTGCCCGGATCTACCCCACCTACCACACCGCTTTCGACACCTTTGGTTACGTGGACAAGTTTGTGGACCCCGGTGAGGACGGGGTCAGGAGCGTCCAGAGGCCGGAGGAGGGCGGCGGGGGACTGAGCCCGGGCCTGCCACCCTCTCTGCAGGCTTCGGCAGCCACCAGGCCGTGGCCAGGACGGCGGGGAGCGTGCTCCTCCGGCTCAGTGACAGCCTCTTCCTGCCCCTCAACGTCAGCGACTACAGCGAGACACTCCGGAGCTTCCTGCAGGCCGCCCAGCAGCACCTTGGGGCCCAGCTGGAGGGCGAGGGCATCAGCCTGGGTACGGAGGCCCCGGGTGGGGGCACGGGGAGGCCTGCACTGCCCTGGCTGACGCGGGCTGTCCCCACAGCGCCTCTGGTGACCGCCGTGGGGAAGTTCGAGCGGGAAGCCGTGGCCCTGAGCCGACACATATCCGCGCTGCAGAAGGGCACCTTCGAGTGAGCGAGGGCAGCAAGCAGGGGTCCGGGAGGGTGGCGTCCAGGGCAAGATGCAGGCTGGCGGCTGGGCTGCCGGCTCCGGGGTGACTGGCGAGTCCTGCGCCTCCAGCCCGCTGCAGGTGCGGATGCTCAATGACCAGCTGATGCTCCTGGAAAGGGCCTTCCTGAACCCCCGGGCCTTCCCCGAGGAGCGCTACTACAGGTGAGCCGGCCGCAGCTCTGGGGCGCAGCGGGGGAGGCTGGGCGCTGGGCCCGAGGCCGGGGAATGGCAGCATTTCCCTGGCCTTTAAGGAAGGGGGAGGTGCTCTGTGCCAGCTCTGAAGGAGCTGAGCTCATTCCAGGCTGAAGCAAATGACCCCGATGCTCCGTTTCTCCCGCCAGTCACGTGCTCTGGGCGCCCCGGCACAGCTCCGTAGCCACGTTCCCAGGCCTGGCCAATGCCTGTGCCAGGGCCTTGAACACAGACCCAGGATCTGCGGCCTGGGCCGAGGTGCGGAGGCAGCTCAGCATCGTGGTGGCGGCCCTGGAGGGTGCAGCAGCCACCCTGAGGCCCGTGGCTGACCTCTGACCCCAGCCCTCCTTCCTCCGCTCACCACTACCCCCCTTTATCCGAACCCTCTCCCACTCGTTTTCTTTGGGGGTCCTGCTCTTCCCTGAGGCCGAGAGGTCATGGCTATGGGATCCTTTCAAGCTGCTGGGGCCACAGCTCAGGGCTGGTCACCGGAGGGGTGACAAGCCCTGAATGAATGAATCTCCTCATCTGGCTCTTGGTGGACGGAGGGCAGAGAAAAGGAAGCAGGGATGGTGGGAATGGCAAAGCCCTCAATTGTTCTTGGTGGTGGGTGGGTGCGGAGAGTATGTAAACATGCCAACCTTAGATGCCAGCTGAGTCCACAGGGCTACCCCTCAGGGACCAGCAGAGAAACCAAGGCCCAGGGTAAATAGGGCCTTGTCCACTCTGGGTTCCTCCACCCTCAGACCTCACATTTCTCAACTCCTTCCTGCCCTTCCCCAAATAAATCCAGCCTGGCGACTGTCCTTACAAAACAAGTTCCGTTTATTGTGTGGGAATCTGAGAAAAGGAGCCCGAGTGTCAGACCCATCCTGGCACTCAGTCCCTCCTTACTCAAGGGGCTTGGCGCGGTCCCCGCCCACCTCTTCCTCCTCCGCCATGACCACTTCCTCCAGGGAGCGCCCTCCCAGCTTGCTTCCCACCAGCACTCCGCAGGTGCCCGCGGGCGGCAGCCCGTCCTCGGTGTAGCAGCCCCTCTGGAACACAACTCTGTCCTGTCCCAGCAAGGGCAGTCCGTGGGCCCGGCACAGGTCCCGCGCCTCCTCGGGCCCGTCCAGGGCCAGCAGGTGGACCACGTACCCCAGGGGCAAGGTCTGGCCCTTGGGGGTGCTCAGGGCACGGGCGAGGCAGGCCAGGGCCCTGCGGCGGGCACGGCCCACGTGGCACTGCACGGCGCAGCTCTGCAGGTACGGCAGGGCCCGGAGCAGGCGGAACAGGCGGGCAGCATTGCCCTCCCGGAAGGCCGCGTCCACGGCCAGGGCTGTGCGGAGGGCTGGGCAGGAGCGCAGGGCGGCTGGCAGCTGCAGGACGCTGTGCAGGGCCTCCACGGAGCCTGTGAGGGCAGAGAGCCGGGTGAGGACAGACCCAGCTTCCGTCCCATCCGCTTCTGCCTCCTCCCCCACCTGAGCACCCAGGGGCTCCAGCCCTCCCCCAGGCCCATCTCCCCCCCAGTCCCACAGCCCGCCTGGCCGCGCCCCTCCCCCAGGCCAAGTGCGCCTTCACCTTTCCCTCAGCCCTTCCTGAGCCGTATCTGACTGAGGCAGGCCCTTCTGATAAAGTGGAGCAGTGTTCATGGATGAGGGGAAAAGGCCCAGATCGTTTAACAACTTTGCCCGAGACCTGAACTGTCCTACAGTTCATACGAAGTAGAACCAGAGCAATCAAGTCCACGGTTTCTGACTTGGAACCCAGTTCTTTCTCCGCTGCCCTACCTGCCCCACAGACCAGGGCACGGGCTCGGCCACTGCTTCGAGGACACCCTGCCCCTGCTTCTCTTCCAAAAGAATCGGCCACCTGGAACCTTCGGCCCCTTCTGTAAGCCGAGGCTTCTGACCCATGAGTGGGCTGTGAAGTCAACAGCACTTTATTACATTTAAATAGACCATCCATCCACAGAAAGGATCTAAAAGTCCTGGTTGATGGATTTTGTGCATTTTGACGCGACACACGTTTAAGAGGCAGGGGGGGGGAGAGGGCTGGGGTGAGATTTTGAAGCTGCCTTTTCCTTCCCGGCAGCCACTGTCCACACCCAGGGTGCCCCCCGCCCCCCGCACTGTCCCGCCGCCGGGGCCCCACTCACCCAGGTTAAAGAGCAGAAAGAGGCCCTGGAAGGCGGCCTGGCGGGGGTGCGGCCCCGCGCCCTGCGCGTAGCAGCGCCGCAGCGAGCCGAAGCCCTCGTGCACCTGGGCCCGCAGCAGCGCCGGGTCCGCCGGGCCCACCGGGCCGCGCGCGGCGCCGGGCCGGAGCTGCGCCGCCACGGCCAGCAGCACGGCCAGCGCCGCCTCCAGCACCGCCGCCGCCTCGGCGGCGCCCGCGCTCTGCAGCGCCAGGTCCAGGCGCACGGCGCGCAGCCGGTCCGCCACGAAGCCGGCCACCTCGGCGCGGGAGGCGTCGGCGCGGCCGGCCACCTCAGCGGCCAGGTGGCGCACGGTGGCCAGCAGCACGGCGGGCGGCCGGAGCTGGCCGGGCTGCGGCCGGGCCTTGCCGGCGGCCGGCCGGCTGTACTCCTTCACGGCGCGCAGCGGGTCGGCGCGGGGCCGAGGCCCGCCGCCCGGCGCCACCTCGAAGCGGTGCAGGCGGCCCTCCTTTTCGCGGCGGGCGCGCTCGGAGGCGGGGCACATGTCCGGGCAGGTGCCCACGGGCAGCTCGCAGCCGGACATGGCGGGCTGCGGAGAGAGGACGGGCGCTCAGCATCCCGGGGCCAGCGGCGGCCCCTCGCCCCATCCTGCAGGAAGTGGGGGCGCGCCGGGCCCGGCCGAGGCTGGAGCAGCTGGGCGGGTGCGAACGTCCCGCCGGCGCCGGTAACCGCCCTCCTCTCCTCTCACCGAGTCGGTTGCTTCCCACAAAGCAGGCTTCCCGAGATGCACTGCGTTGTAGTTCAGCGCCGCACGGTCAGGACCGCAAACGCCCCCATAATGCACCGCGCACAGCTCATGCCACTCCCATGATGCACCGGTTTGTAGTCCCTCCCACAACCAATCGCTTTGCGGCGGGGCGGGCCGGAGCAGAGCCACGCCTTCCCGGGCCCCTGCGCACTTAAGGGTCCTTGTTTGGCTTTGGAGACCCACCTCTGCAAAAAGGATAACCCCGCTCCGGGCTCCTCTCCAGCATCCATCCCCATCGGCCAGTAAACTGGCCCAGTCAGCCTTACTGTCATTCTCCCCATTTTCTAGATCCAGGGTCAGCGAATAAATGGGACTTTCGGTGGCAACTACATACCTCTGCTACTAGTCAACCCTTCCGGTGGAGTGAGAAAGCAGCCATGGACAATACTAAATCAATGAGCCTGGTTGTAGTCCAATAAAATTGTATTTTTAGATACTTAAACTTCCTTTTCACCTGTCACAGAACATTATTCTTTTTATTTTTTTTCAACTATTAAAAAAATGTAAAAACCATCCCAGCTCACAAGCTTTACAAATAAAAAGGAGGTGGGCCAGATTTGGCTGCAGGCCGCAGTTTGCAGACCCCAGTTCCAGAAGGATAAACAAAGTTCAGAGCTACTGCCCACACATTGAGATAGGCAGGCAGGATCAAAAGGGTGACACCGTTCCTGCTTCCATGCTGGCAGGTATGGCCAGGGAACTGAGTCATTCTTTTTCTCATTCTTGGTCCAGTTACATACAGAAATGGCCTCCTGAGTTACAAGACCAGGAGACAGGGCAGGCTCCAGGGCGAGGAGAAGGGGTGGCTGGCAGTGCTGGAGTCCCAGGAAGGGTGGCTCCCTCTCAGGGTGGAACTTTGGACAGGATTTCCTCTGCCCGCTTCAGGTACTCCGCCGCCTTCTTCTTCACACCTTCCCGCCGGGCGGGCGATGGGTCACCTATGGAGAGAGAATGGCTCAACTGAGGTACTGGGCTCAGAACCCCTGTCCAGCTCCCTGTAGCTCACAAAGCATGTGTCTTTCCCCTTCCCTGGGGATCAGATCTAGCTTCCCGTTTTATAAACAAGAAAACTGAGGCCACAAGAGACAGAGAGACTGCCCAAGGCTTTGCAGCTGGCCAGTAAGGAGCAAGTCTCATCCTTGACTCGCTTGTTCTTCATGTTCCCTTCCCTTCCCTGCACCATCCGGGCCCCGGGCCTGGCCCCCGCTCCCTGGTCCCACGCACCAGGAACTCCCTGAAGCAGGATGTGCACGCCTTCCCGATAGCCCTGCAGAGCCGCAGGGTAGGCGCCAGCCTTCTCATCCCGCAGGGCCTGGGTGATGAGTTCGGTGGCTTGGCTCAGATAGGCAGGGGTGGGCCCTCCGTCCTTGTCCTCCTCCTCCTCCTCCTCCTGACCTCCAGGCTCCCAGGCTTCCTGGCCCGGCCTCTCAGGCTCTGCCTCCAGTGCTGTCAGCTCCCCTGTGTGGGCAGGACTGGGGCCTGCACCCTCTGTAATCAGATACGGAGGACGCAGGCTGTACCGGCGGCCCCTCTCCCAGGGCCTGCCCAGCCCAGACCGCTCTTCCCATTAGGGGACCAACCTGTCCCAGGGCGGGAGAAGCAGCGCCTGAGAATTCAGAAGCCGCTGTGCACAGAAAGCTGGCCACGATCTATGTGACCGGTGGGGTACACATGCTTTTGTGAAAACAGCCGGCCTTCCTAACTCTTCCTAAGTACACATTAACATTCGTTTGAAAGTCCTACTTTCCTCCTGACTACAGTCCGTCTATCAATCCATCAAGTCCCTCAATAAAGTTTAATTGAAGGATGCTAGGCCAACTTCGCCAGGCTCAGGGTAGAAATACTCCAAGCCTTAGAATCCTGGGAGAGGGACAGAAAGAAACATCAATAAGGGAGAAACATCGACCAGCTGCCTCCTGCACACCCCTTACTGGGGATGTGCCTGCAACCAAGGTACATGCCCTTGACCGGAATCGAACCTGGGACCTTTCAGTCCACAGGCCGACGCTCTATCCACTGAGCCACACCTGTTAGGGCGCCTTAGAGGAATCTTAATAGGCTCCTGTCTAAGCGTCTGGCCACCGGGCAGCCCAGGATGGGGCAAGGCAGAGTATGTGGACATCTGCCTCTCAGAGCCGGCACATCAATCCCAGTGACACCACTCCTTGCCCCGCCAATTCCTTCCTCCTCCCCAACCCTGGAGGGGCCGGAGCAGGAAGGGGAGGGGGCAAATTAGAAGAGCAGAAGAACCCTCATGCCCTTGGTCACCATGGACTGAGCAGGACTGAGGGCGAAAGCCGGATGAGAGGCCGAGGCCCTGGTTTGGACCAGACTGAGGGTGAGGGAGCTCAAATGTCTGAAACTGAGGAGATCCTCCAGGATCTGCCAGGAGGTCACCGAAGGAGGAATAAGAGAAGCCAATAAGATGGGCCTAAAGGCTGTTGAGGAATCCAAAAAGGCTGATTCTGCCGAAGCCGGTTTGGCTCAGTGGTAGAGCGTTGGTCTGCGGACTGAAAGGTCCCAGGTTTGATTCCGGTCAAGGGCATGTACCTTGGTTGCAGGCACATCCCCGGTAGGGGGTGTGCAAGAGGCAGCTGGTTGATGTTTCTCTCTCATCGACGTTTCTAGTTCTCTATCTCTCTCCCTTCCTCTCTGTTTAAAATCAATTAAAAAAAAAAAAAAAAAAAAAAAGGCTGATTCATGACGATCCCGCAGTGAGATCAGCCACTTCAACGCAGCAGCTGCAGGAGCAGCAGAAACCCAGGGAATTCACTATGAAGATCCAGGGTCTGAGTCCAGGACTGTTAGGTCCCCGATCTCAGTGCCAGGGGCTCAGGGCCTGGACCGCTATGGGGGCCCCTTCCATCCCGGTGCCCCCACAGGCCAACAGCTTCTCAGGGCCCTTCCCTGCTGCTCGCTGAGCCCAGACCTCACCCACCTTGACCAACAGGCCTCTCCTGACTTCCGGGTCCATGCCAGACCCCGAGGCAGCCAGAGCAGGTGACCCCTGCTCACTCGGAGCTGCTGCAGGGAGAAGGCCCACCTGGGCAGTGGCTCATCTCATTCCTCCGTCGTTGCTCACTGTACCAGGGCATCCAGCTCACCACACCCTGGTATGGGGCTGTGGGACCTGCTCCTATCCTCACGGAGGCTGCATTTGCCAGAGGGCACCGCCTCAGGCTTACAGGCACCAGAGCCTACCGGGCACCGCCTGCCCCCTTCCTCCGAGCACCTCTGCCCAGCCCTCCCCGACTGCCCCGCTGTTACCTTCCTTGGAGAAGGGGTCGAAGAGGGCCAGCTCGGCCTCGGTGAGGGGGCCTCGGGCCGGGGAACTGGACGCCTCCTCGGTGCTCCCACAGTTAAAGAGGAGATCCAGGGCCTCCTGGGCAGGGCTGGACGGCAGGGGCTCCGCTGAGGAACAGATCAGGGGGACGTTGACGTCTGCTCTTATTACTTATCTCACTGAATCCCGGAAGCCACCCTGAGTGGAGACAAGCCCATTCTTCGGGCTTGTGCCCATTTTACAGATGAACAAACTGCAGCCTCGGTGCCTGTACAGGGCTCCCAGCAGGCTAGTGGTAGAAGAGCTGGGACACGCCCCAGGCTCTTCACTAAGATCACTGAGGAGGGAGCGGGCCTCACCCTACTCTGGGCCCTCCAGCGGGGCTCCCTTCCCCACCCCTCAGTACCTGGCACCTCCAACTCCTCCAGGCCCCTCTTCTCTGCGGGGAGAGGCTGGGGGAGCCAGGACTCATCCGGTGGTGGCTGGAGCTCCTCGGGGGGTGGTGTGGGGATCAGAGGGGGTGGCAGGATGTGCAGGTCCCTGGACACCTGGGCGGGCCGTGTCACCTCCCCACCCTGCAGGAGAGACCAGCCAGGAGGAGTCTCAGGGTGCAGCCCGGGAGCAGGGAGGTCCCCAGGTGCTGGGCGGGGGCGAGCAGGCGCACGTACCCGGAAGAACTCCTTGAGCTGGGGGCTGTTGTTGAGCGCGGGGATGTGCACAGTGAAGCGGAGCAAGTCCTCGGCCCCTTTGCGCCGCTCCTCGATCACAGAGGCCTCGAACCTGCCTGCAGCCCCGGGAGAAGGGGCAGCAGGAGAAGCATGACCCTCAGGCCTGGGCCCCCGGCCCCTCTGGTTCTGCCTGAGAGGGCCTGACAGCCCGTCCGAGCTCCCGTCCTCCCAGCAGCCTCCCGACTCCTCCAGGGTGGGCGGCGCTTGGACGAAGGGACCCATCTCCCTGTTCATCCATTTACCAGGTGCTTACTGAACACCTACTATGTGCTAGGCTCACAAGGTGAATGAGAGGAGCAAGCTCTCATAGACATCACATCCCAGACAGGGGGAGGCAAGCAACCAACAAGAAACAAAATGACTTCCCATGGCTTTGATGGAATGAGGAGCAAAGTAAGGCTCAGAGAGGGGAAGAGACTTGCCCAAGGTCACACAGCAAGTAGCCCCCTTTTATTACAGTCTCACCGCTCTGTTCTAGGCAGCTGTCTGACTCTACCTGGATACCAGGCCGCCCTGCCGCACTCCCCCTGGCCTGGCACAGCTGCCAGCAGAACGCTGCTGCACAAAACAGCTCATTGATTCTAGAGAATCAGCCCCGTCCAACAAAATATAACATGCAACTTACAATTTCCTAGTAGCCACATTAAACCAAAAAAAAGTAAAAAGAGCCCTAGCCAGTTTGGTTCAATGGATAGAGCATTCGCCTGTGGGCTGAGGAGTCCCAGGTTCTATTCCGGGCGGGGGCACATGCCCGGGCTGTGGGCTCAATGCCCAGTACGGGGTGTGCAGGAGGCAGCCGATTAATGATTCTCTCTGATGTTTCTATCTCTCTCTCCCTCTCCCTTCCTTAAAATGTATGTATGTGTATATATATATATATTTTTTAAAAAGTAAAAAGAAACAGATTCATTGTAATATTTTCTATTTCACTCAATATATTCAAATTACCCTCATTTGAACATATACCCAATACATACATTGCTGTGATAGTTTACATTCCCCCCGTGTATGTGACCCAAAAGCCCATCATATCGCCAGTGCTGCCCGGCCCTGCATGGCCGTGGCTGCTGTTTTGGGACCGGGCAGGTCTAGGGGAACCGGGTTTGTGGGCAGGAATTCTGGTTCTGTCATTACAGACCTGGCCCCTTCATCTCCCTGAGCTCAGTGGCTGCACCTAGAACAGGGTGCTGATGAGGCAGGAATGCAAAGGGGCTGACACACCAGGGCGGGGCTCCTCTGAGCCTCCAAGCCTCCCCAGGGCCCGCCCAGCCTCGGAATGTCCCGCAGGGAGTGTCCGGCCCTGTCGCTCCGGCCCCCGCCAGCAGAGGTCGCCTGTGCCCAGCTCCTCCCCGCTCGTGGGCCTGAAGGCCCGATCCCCTCACCGAACACCTGGGCCCGCGGGAAGGCGGGGAACTCCTCCAGGCGGCGGAAGAGGTTGCGGTGGGTGTAGGCCAGGTCTCCGTGCAGCTTGCGGAAGTCGCTGTACCGCTTCCAGACCACCACCTGTGAGAAGCCGGGACTTGAGGGCCCAGCCCCGTGGGAAGAGGCCTCCCCATCCCCTGCCCGGCCCAGGGTCAAGGGCGCTGGTCTCCGCACAGAGTTACCAGCGGCTGCGCCTTTCCTGTTTCCAGATCCGGAATGTGGGGATGGCCCCCTTCTTCCCAGGAGACTCACCTCTTTGACATCTTCTGGGTCTCTCTTGGAGATGAACTGAGGAAGGAAGGCAAGAGCCAGGTGAGATCAGAGACCGAGATCAGGACCGACATCTGTCATCCCACACCCTGTGAGATCCTAGGAAGCCCGGGTGCCTCCCAGCTCCCTCAAAGGGGCAGGCAGGGGCCGCCGGCCACCATATCCAGGTGTCGGGCTTGCAGACTCTGAGTGTCCCCTGGGCGGTTTTCCTATCAGGCACCTCGGTTTCTTCATCTGTCAATTGAGAGGACCCTAAAGGCCGCTCCAGACTCCTCCATCCTCAGCCTGACTTCTATGTCGGTTCCTTCAAAGGGCCAAGTCCCTGCAGCTCCTTCTGAAACCAAAGAACCCCCAACTTCTCTGTCCCAGGAGCCACTCCTTCCTACAGGGGGGAGCCTCTGGGGATGGACACTCCTGGACAAAGAAAAACCACCCCTGGGTGTGACCCCTGGTCGAGCAGACAGGCCTGAGGTAGTAAGAAGACTCCAATGCACAGTTTTGTTCATAATAATTTGATGATAATTGGAGTACTTGATGGTTCTCAAAGTAAAAGAAGCTTGTTTTAAAAACCACTGAGGAATGTGTACCTAACAAAGGACTCGTATCTGGAATATGAAGAACTACAAAAAGATAAAAAAAATCGGGCAAAATGGGCAGAATACTTGAATAGACACGTCCCTCAGAAAAAGACATATGAGTGGCACATAAGATTATGTTGTGGTGTTGTTTTTTGTGAATCTCTACCCAAGGATATTTTCCCCATTGATTTTTAGAGAGAGTGGAAGGGAAGGAGGGTGCAGTAAGAGAGAGAAAGAAACATTGATGTGAGAAAGTCATATCAATTGGTTGCTTTCTGCACATGGCCTGACTGGGGCCTGGGACTGACCTGCAATCCAGGTTCATACAGGGAACCAAACCTGAGACCCTTTGGTGGGTGGGCTGCCACTGAGCCACACCGGCCAGGGTGCCAATAAGATTATGAAAATACATTGAACATCATTTCTCATCAGAGAAATGCAAATTAATACTCCAATGAGATATTCCACACCCACCAAGAATGGCTAAAATTAAAGATGCTGATGATATCAAGTGCTGGCAACAATGGGAGTATAAAATGGAACAATCACTTTATTATTTTTTTAATGTTCATTTATTGGTTTTAGAGAAAGAAGGGAGAAACATCAATGTTGTTCCACTTATGTATTCATTGGTTGCTCTTTTTTTAAAAAATTAATGTTTGTTTTTAAATTAGTGTACTATTTTCTTTTATTTTTTGTCTTTTTAAAAAAATATATTTTATTGATTTTTTACAGAGAGGAAGGGAGAGGGATAGAGAGCTAGAAACATCGGTGAGAGAGAGACATCGACCAGTTGCCTCCTGCACACCCCCCACCGGGGATGTGCCCGCAGCCAATGTACATGCCCTTGACTGGAATCGAACCTGGGACCCTTTAGTCCGCAGACCAACGCTCTATCCACTGAGCCAAACCGGTTTTGGCATGTGTGTGTGTGTTTTTTAATTGATTTCAGAAGAAGGGAGAGAGAAACATCAATGATGAGAATCATGGATGGGCTGCCTCCTGCACGCCCCCTACTGGGGATCAAGCCCACCACCCGTGCATGTGCCCTGACTGGGCAGGAATCGAACCCTGACCTCCTGATTCATGGGTCGAGGCTCGGTCACTGAGCCATACCAGCCGGGTGAACTGTATACATTTTTAAAGTCATAGACAAGCGTTTTTTTTGTTTTGTTTTGTTTTAATTAAAAATAAACTCTTTAGAGGGCTTTTATGTAAATATCCAACAAATCCAAAAACGAAACTTACTTTGAGAGATTGGAGAACTAACTAATATTTGGAGAACTAACTCTCATCCGTGAGCCAGAGATTTCACGTTAAAGAAATTCACAGCCTGATGCCCAGACACCACACTTCGGCCGCGGGTACCCCAACTCCCAGGTCCAGGAACGGCAGTCCCCGCCCCTTTAAGAGGACAGCGGCCGCCCGTGGCCCCGCCCCCTGCGGCGCCCGGAGGCCCCTGAAGACGCACCTTAAAGGGGACACCTATTTCTGTCCGCCAAACACGGCGCTCCCGGGGCGCCTCGCCTTCAGGTCAGACTCGGCCCCTCTCCGTTAAAGGGGTGAGGTCCCCCCGAGCCCCCTCACCTGCGCGGTCACTTTGTACTCGGTGTAGCCCTTGGGGTGCGTCCGGGGGTCGGAGACGGTGTAATGCCGCAAGAAGTCGTCCTTAGCTCGGCGGGACATGGTGCCCAGCTGGGCCCAGCCGCCCGGCCGCCCCGCCTCCGGGTCCGCGCCGCCGGCCGCGTCCTCCGCCCCGGAGCCGGCGCAAGTGACGCGCAGTTCTCGCCGGGCACGCGGCCAAGGGAGCGTCTGAAAAGGTCCTGGCAGCTGGTAAAGCGTGAACTGGGTGGTGTGGGGATAAGGATTGGGGAGGCTGGGCCACTTGCCAAGCGATCAAACCCCTCCCCCCCAAAAAGTGAACCCTCATCACACATCACGCGGCTTCTCCTCTGCTTCCCAGCCCCCTTTCACCCATTCACCCAGTTTTCACTGTGTCCAGTATGTGCTGGACACAGCTAAGTGATTCTCCTGACTCCCCCCATAGGATTCCCTAATTCTTGTTTTCTGGAAGGATGGGGGAGCAAAAAGAACTCCGGAGAAGCACGTTGGTGTCAAGGGTTCTGAAGTCACACTTTTTACTAGGTGTATGACTTTCCCACCATGACTCCAGCCTCAGTTTCCCGTCCCCAGGATGGGGATATGGTTGACCTCCTGCCGTGGGTGTTTCTTTCCTGCTGTCCTGTTATTATCATTTTGGAGGTAGTTCTCTAGCACGTGTAGCCAGTCAGCCTCCTGCTCCAGAATCTAAAGATGTCACCTCCTTTTCTTGCCCCAGGTCCCAGGTGAGGGTGAGGGACTCTCTCCTGAGACCTTGAATCTTGAAGGACCGAGGGCACAGTGCCTGGAAGGAGACCAGCGTGTCCCTGGAGTACAGTGTTGGCTGTGGATTGGCTGCCCAGCCTCGGAAGCCCTCTGTTTTCCACGCCTGGACATCCAGTCTCCACCGGGATGCCGTGAGTCCCCGGTATCCTTCCAAGAAATGTCCGACTATAGGCAGTGGCACTCTGCTTCTGGGGCTGGCCATCACGGACCCGGACGATGGGTCACGTAAGCATTCATGACCACTCTTATTACGAGAACTCAGGTGTGTGGACGCTGTTTGTAGAAAGAAGCACACAGCAAAATCCCAAATCAGACTCTTGGAAACTCAGAAATGAGGTAGGTCATGCCCTAACAGGTTTGGCTCAGTGGGTAGAGCGTGGGCCTGCAGACTGAAGAGTCCCAGGTTCGATTCCGGTCAAGGGCATGTACCTTGGCACATCCCCAGTAGGAGGTGTGTAGGAGGCAGTTGATGCATGTTTCTCTCATCTCTCATCGATGTTTCTCTCTATCCCTCTCCCCTCCTCTCTGTAAAAAAAAAAAAAAAATCAATAAAATATATTTTTTTAAAAGAAAAAAGAAATGAGGTAGTTCATCTAGGAGGTGTTGGGGAGTTGGCTGGGATGGGGTTCCTCTACAGACTCCGTTAGACATGGCTGCTGCTTTCCAGACCTTTCTGGGCAGGGCTGTGGCTCCAAGTCTCCTTCTCACCCATCATCACCTCCCTTCCTGGCCCAGTAGCTCCCGATGCCCCTTTCTGCTTTCTTTCTTTCTGCCCCCTCCAGAGTCTTTCCTGTCTAGATCAGCATAGTCTCTGGCCTTCTCCAGATCACAAAACAGTTCTGTTATCAGGAGAAGCAAACAGGATCCCAAGAAAGTGGGGATGGGGAGGAGCCGCCAGCACAGCTGCAGGGACCTGCCCCCCACAGCCGCCTGCTTGACCATGTGATGCAGACTTTCTGCCTCAGCTCAAACTCCCGTCCACAGGCCTTTGTGATGAGTATAATGGCCTCGTTATTTCCCTAACATGCGTCATTCACTTTAAATCCAGGATGCTGCTGACCAACGGCGCCGGGAGGACTCAAACCCGGGTGACTCACCCAGACCAGTGGATGGCTGAGTTCATATTGCTTGGATCTGTTTGAGCTCCTAATGGCTCATATAATGGTGATTATAGCTAGCTTTGATTTTGATAATTATATCAAACGATAATTATAGCTGGCTTTAATTTAATACAGTGCTGAAGACACAGGACACCCACCCATTTGGTCCTCATCACCACCCCAGGAGGTCGGCGCCGTTCTCTCTCCGTGGATGGGGAAACTGAGGCCCAGACAGGTTAGGCGATTTGCTCAGCATCCTCCAGGGAGTAGCACAGCTGGGTTCTGGCCCCCGAGCCGGGATGTGTTCACTCAGTGCAAGATTTGGGGTGTGGGCTCCACGTGTGTCTCGCATAGAGGACAGACAGGGCAGGCGGCTGCAGTGTTCCACCCTGAAGGACAGTTGATGTTCGAAGGTTTCCACCCAACCCCCACTTCCCTTATTTCACCCCAGCGGAGCCCGGTGTTGACAGGTGTCTCCCTCTGGGAAGGGGCCCGGAGCTAATTCAGGAGGAAGCCCAGTGTCTTCCTCCTCTGCCTTGGCAGCACTACCTGCTCTCATTAGACCCTCCCCTGCAGTTCGAATCTTGAGAGACAAAACACTGAAAACAGTTACAGGGCTGAGTGTGCTGGGCCCACGTCTCAGCTCCCCACTTCCTCGCCGGCGGCTCTGAGCAGGTGTGCAGCCTCCTGGAGGCGCATGGGATGCTGAGACCTGTACTCGGGTCCTTCTCCAACGCGGCAGGAAGTGCAGGTCTCGGACAGAAGCCTGCAGGGTGAGCAGCCGCCGCCGAGAGCGCAGCACAGGCCCCTGTGGACTGCCCTCCGTTGGGCCATCCCGGGGTGCCCTGTTCCCACCCTCCCTCAGCCCAGCCCCTGCCTCAGAGTGCCTTCAGGAAGGCCCTTCCAGCTCTGCTCTTGGTGAGCCCCTGCCTGCGGCCTCACCACTCCGTTTCCCAAGAGCCCTTGCTCTTTATTCCTGTCACGTGATTTCCTCTGCTTGACCCTGTGCTGCCTGTACGGCCTGCAGGCTGTCCACTGCACGTGGGCTCCTGGTGCCCCAGGAAGTTGGGAGCTGAAACTCAGCCCGTGTTCCGTTCAAGAAGCTGCGAGTCCTGGTGCAGAGGTGGATGTGTATTCTTTTCTAACCCACGCCTCTGAGGGCAGCAGTCGCTCTGTTCAACTGTCCTCTCCTCTATCAGAGAACTCCTCCTCATCCTCTACTCCCAGCTTTACTATCACCTCCTCCGGGAAGCCTGCCCGGACTCTTCCCAAATGCAATCATTGCAGCCCGGTCCTACGCTTCTGTGCGCTGCATCCCTTAGACACAGCACCAGTCAAACTCTGACTGGAGTGATCTGGCCCTTTGCTCCCTGCTGGGCTGTGGGCCCTACGTGGTCTCTGAAGCCGTTAATTAGCACATGACTCAGCCGGGAATCAGGCAAGGAAGTTTATTCTCACAGCTGAGCCTGGACAGCAGCAGAGGCAGCCCCCTCCCAGCCTCAGCCCTTGCCTGTCGGTGTGGCGGCTGCAGGAGGGCCGGGTCAGGAGCCAGGGTGACAGCCAGGGCAGTCGCACACCCGCCATGGGGTCTGGGCTGGCCGTGGAGCGGCAGCGGGTGGCGGCAGCAGGTTACGAAGGGGCATGGAGTGTTAGCTGGGCTGGCCGATTCCCATCTTCCCCCGGGTGGTGCTTGGCGGGGGCAGGGGGGGCCCGGACTGAGGTGGGGGCGCCTGGAGCGGCTCAGTCGGCTGTGAAGATGCGGCTGGAAATGTCGTCGAGCAGCCAGTCGATGCCGGGCAGCAGGTTGTCCCCAGTGACAGCGCTGCAGCCCTGGATGCACCAGTGGTGGCTTCGGATCGAGTCCAGCTCCAGGGCCTGAAAGGGAGGGACGTGTGGTGGGGCCGGGAGCTCCCAGCCTGCCGGCTGCTCCCCGCCTCTCCTGGCCCCGGGGAAACCGGTGCTGCCTCCGGGCACTGCCCTGGGCGTTCCCTGCTCCCAGTGAGGACCTCCGGGCGCTGCACTGTCAGCCCAGCGCTGCCCCTCAGGCAGGAATCGGCGTCTGTTAGGGTCCAGGCATCGTGCTGTGGGCCCCACAGCGTCCTCTCACCCACTCCCCCGGAGCCACACCAGCCGGCGCCTGTGCCGGCCACCGACGGCGGAGGGAACCGCAGAGGAGCGGTCAGGCCCCTGCCTAAGGTCACACAGCCAGCGAGAGGCGGAACCGCGCTCCTAACCCACTCTTCCTCCTTCCGGTGCTGAAGCCCCGGAGTCAAGGTTAAGACTGGGGTCAGACAGGCCTGTGTTTAGATCCTGGCTTGTTGGCTGTGTGAGCTTGGGCGAGTTAACTGGCTTCACCTGCCGAGTGGTAACAGTTCCTACTTCAGGAGGTGGTTGTGGGAACGGAATGACTGGGCCAGGCAGAGCCTCGCACACAGAACGCACTCAGGACTCGGCTACTTTATCCTGTGGGATGACCTGTTTGCGTCTGCTCCCCCCTGCCCCCCCCCCCAGCCTTACTGACCACAGAGTCTCCAGTGCCCAGGAGGTCCTGCCACACAGCGGGGGCCACAATGCTTTTAAAATAACAAACACGCGCCTCTTCCCCTCCACGGGCCTGGACTCACCTCCCGAATGGCGCTGGAAGACAGTGCTCCCGGCAGGTCCTGCTTGTTGGCGAAGATGAGGAGGGTGGCTCCCGCCAGGCGCTGGGGAGACAAGAGGGGCGGGGCTCAGAGAGCAGCCCGGCTCCTCATCTAACTGAGGGGCAGCTGGAGCGGGGCCAGCCCGGAGCCCCGGGGCACGGCGCCGGGGGGGGGGGGGGGGGGCAGGGAGGACGCTGCCTTTGAGGCCGGGCACTCATGGGGTGATGGAGCAGTGGTTCCAGCCCAGTAGCCACCCAGCGGGCGCCCTTCTCCTCCATGCCTCCGCTTCCTCTTCCGTAAGCGGGGAGGGTGATGGACTGTGGTCTGCAGCACTCCGCTGATGAGCTGAGTGTACAGAGGCCCGGGGTCTGCTGGGAGAAGGGCCTTTCCCTCCTGCACATTCAGAGCCCTTCCACTGCCACTGCCCTGCCAGGCCGCTCCGCCTGTTTTTCCTTACAAGTGTTACATGTTTTTCCTCACACGTGTTACATGTGTCACATGTGTTCAGTCCTGGGAGCTGCTCCACTGGCTGAACCTAGCTCGGGCTCGATCTCACCGGACCTGCTGTGCCAGGTGACCGTGTGGTCCTGGGTGCCAGGACAGCCCCATTCATGCCTCTTGTCCCCTCATCATTAGCAACTCCCTCTTTCACACTCAAAGTGTCCTTGCTAAAACCGGTTTGGCTCAGTGGATAGAGAGTCAGTCTGCAGACTGAGAGGTCCCAGGTTCAATTCCGGTCAAGGGCATGTACCTTGGTTGTGGGCACATCCCCAGTAGGAGGCAGCTGATCGATGTTTCTCTCTCATCGATGTTTCTAGCTCTCTATCTCTCTCCCTCCCTCTCTGTAAAAAAATCAATAAAACATATATTTTTTTTAAATCAACAAAATATATATATTATATATATTTTTAAAAAGTGTCCTGTTTTCCTGTAAATGCAGTGTAGTTAACTAGATCAAAGCCCGGAGCAGAAAAAGGGCATCAGTGGGAAAACGGAAACAAAATCTGTCGTTTTTGTTGGCTGCCCAGGGTGAGTTTCTCAGTGGGACGTACAGTGATTACGTAAGATAGTAACAGAGGAAGCAGGCAGCCTCTCTTCCCTATCTTTCAATTTTCCTATAAATCCAAAAGTCTACTCTTTAAAAAGTGTTTTGGCCCGGACAATAAGTTATAAGATCACTCTAGTTATAATGCCCACCTTAGAGATGAGGAAGTGAAGGTTCAGAGAGGGTAAGGGCCTTGCCTGAGGTCACACAGCGAACAGGCTCCCTCCCAAGCCAGGCTCCGCTGCTTCCCACAGCTTCACACACTGGCCTGCAGTCCTCCTCCCTAAAGCTGGGTTGGGGAGGGGAAACTGGAGCTCAGTGTGGTGGAGCGGTGACATCACAGGCGTGTGGTCTTGGGACTCGGCCCATAGCATGAACTGCCTGTGGCACCGTGGGCCCAGGGACCAGGTGCACAGGAGGCCCCTGCCTCCCCACGTGGGGCGCTGGGCACACAGGGCGGGCTCGGGGGTCTGCTGAGGCAGGCGGCCACACGTCCACGCACGCGCACAAGGCACCGGGGCCTGGACGCAGGTGCGAGCCCGGATCCCCTCCCCTCCTCCCCGCTCCACCGGCCCCGGCCCACCTCCTCCACCAGCAGGCTCTGCAGCTCCCGCTGGCAGTCCTGCATGCGCTGGCGGTCGGCGCTGTCCACCACCCAGATGAGGCCGTCGGTGCTCTCAAAGTAGTTCCGCCAGTAGGACCGCAGGGACTTCTGGCCGCCGACATCCCAGATGTTCAGCTTGAATCTAGGCAGGGAGCGGGTGGCTGGAGGGTTGGCCTGGCCCCTTCCCCTCCCGCCCCGCCTTGCCCTGGGCCCGCCCACCGGCAGGGGCCCGCTCACCCCCGGTGCTCCAGCGTCTTGATGTTGAAGCCCAGGGTGGGCGAGATGGTGTCGATGTCTTCTCCGTTGAACTTCTTGAGGATCGTGGTTTTGCCGGCGTTGTCCAGGCCGCTGGGGCGCCCCAGGTTAAGGAGAAACCCCCTTGTCCGCAGGGTGGGGACTCGGTGACAGTGCCCCTCTCTTACGGACAAATCATTTCCCACCACGAACCAAAACCAGTTGAGCACATAACGGACCCACGATAAACGTGGAAGTATCAAGAAACAAGACTCTTATCTCCTCCTGACCAAAGGCTCCTTCCCTAACCCCATAGCATTCACTGAATCCCCACGAAATGCCAGGCCCCTTCGGTGCTGAGGTCTCGTGTGGAGACGGTGATAGAGTGTAAACCAATGAGAAAGCTGTCAGACCCTGGTGAGCGTTAGAAAAACACAAGAGATACGGGAAGCGGTGTTGGAGGGGCCATCAGAGGCGCCTCCTGTGGCTCAGGTGGCGGGAAGGTCTCCAGGTTTTCGTCCCTGCACCTGCTCTCCCCAAGGTCAGTCCCCGAAGCAGCCATCTGGGTTCCTCCTCCGAGGAGTTTGCACTCGCTGTCCCTCTGCTTTCAAGAATGTCCCCAGACATCTACCCGGTTAAACTCTCACCTCCCTGTCTTCACTCAGCTGCCACTTCTCCAATCGGCCTTCCTCCTCCATCCATACTATCATCCCCTTATTTATGTCGTTAACATCTTTCTCCCTCCAGCATCCTAGAATGTCCATGAAGGTCCGAGTTGTTTATTTGGCTGTTTTACCCCAGCCCCTAGGACAGTGCCCAGTACACAGCAGGCGCTCAATATTTACTGGGTGAGTGAATTCTGTGTTTTTCTCAAGGTTCTTTAAAACGGACATGATGTGAATGTTATTTTTGGAGTTATTTGCGTAGGTGAATGTATTCTCTCCCAGCGAGCGGGTCAGAACCGGGGTGAGGGCAGCCCAGTTCTGGGATCTCAGAGCCGTTCCCCCGTGGGGCCTGGGGCGGAGGCGGGCGGAGGGTGCCGGCGCCTGTTAATGGGGCTCGGGAGGCTGATGGGGCCCTGGGGTCCACTGACATCACAGGCCGGGGGCAGCGGAGGCTGGACACCCGCGCAAGGACCCTCGCGGAGGCTACACCTGCTTCTCCAAGGACCTGAGGGCGGGGCCCCCCGGGATTCCGATCTTGAGGGCGGGGCCGAGGCCTCGGCCCTCGGACGGGGGTAGGAGGGTGCTGAGAGCGCGGATAGCGACCCCACGCTGGGCCAGACAAAGGGGGGCGGCGGCCGAGTTACTCCCGGGCCCCCCTCCCCCTGCATGGGACACCTGTCCGGCCGCAGCGCCCTAAGGCCCACAGCTCTGGCCCTCCGCCCGGCCCCCGCCAGAGGGATTGGTAGAACCCACGTGCGTGACGCACAAGGGGCAGTTGGCACCCCGCGCCCGGTAGGGGGCGCCAGCACCGCCCGCCCGGCCGGGCCCCGCTACCCTGGCGGCGCCGCTCCCGGGAGGATACAGCATGAGCAGCCGCAGCTCCCGCTCTTTCTGCTTCATCTTCTTCAGGATGGTCAGGAGGCCCATGGTCCCCAAGCCCCCGCCCGGCCGCTGTTTCTTCCCGGTCCGGGGACGCCTCTCCCCGCTCCTATTGGCTATCACGCCCCACCGAAAGCACAGCCTATTGGCTGGCCCTCGCTTAGTCCCGCCCTCCTCTCACGTGACCGCGAGGTCACGGGGCCGAGCTGCTCGGGGGCCCCTCCAGTGGCGCTGGGGGCTCCCGCACCGCCACCTGCAGTAACCCTTCGCACCCCGGGGGCACCGCCATTCCTCCCTCCCCGGGACCCCGGGCTCCGCTGGGGACGGAAATCCGAGTTCCTGGGTTTGTCTTGGCTGCACGGAGAGTAACCGGAACCCGGGCTTGCTGACGAGCTCGTGCCGGGGCCAGTGTAAGGCTCTGTTCCCCACAAAAGTGGTCCAGACCTTCCTTGGGCCCCTGGCGTCATCCTGAGCCTGTTACAGGGCCTCCCCTTTCCCTGGCACCTGCCATCGTGGAGGGTGAGCTTGGGGGGGGTGGTGGTGGGGGTGTTTCTCCATGGAGGGTGGAAGCGCCCCCTAGGGGGCATTTGGAAATGTGCGATGGCGTCATCGTGTTAACGTCAGGATGGGAGCAGGTCTGCCTCTGGGCCTATAGCATGCGGGTTCCTTTTTTTTTTTTTATTAACTTTTTAAAATTGTTTTATGTATTACAAATAGTAGTACATATGTCTCCTTCCCCCCCCCTTGACCTCCCCACAGCCTCCCCTACCCAGCATATGCCTTCACCTGCCCCCCATTCCCCGCCCCAGTGTCTTGTATCCATTGGTTATGTTTATATGCATGCATACAAGTCCTTCGGTTGATCCCTTACAGCATCCCCCGCCCCACTCCCCCAACCTCCCCTGCCTTCCCGTGTAGTTTGGCAGTCTGTTCAGTGGTTCTTTACCTCTGTATCTATTTTTCCCCCATTTCTTTTCTTTAAAAAATCTTCCAACTGCAGACTAGAAATAAACATATAATAACAAAAAATGTCTGAGTCCCAATTTCAATGTCCAACAGTTCTGAGACCCAGTTTCAATGTCCGATAGTTCCTTATGTGTACATGTCAGCAATGATATCAGGATGATGGACAGATGGTGGCAATGCAGGTCCGACCCTCTCTGGTTTGGTCCTGGGCAACCTGCAGTGACACACAGCTGCTGACTGTTAGCGTGGCAGGGCGTTGTCAGCGTCTTCCGTCTCTGGACTGTAGCATGCGGGCTCTTCACTTCCTGCAGGAGCAATTGCACAACCTGAGTCCAGTTCGCTGATTAATGCTGGGCTCAGTGAAACAGGAAGGGCTTTGAAGAAGAAGCAACAGGAGAGACTAGACTGGGCTGCTTGGCTCTCTGGAAACGTTACGGAAAAGAAGTTAACCAGCCGAAACCGGTTTGGCTCAGTGGACAGAGCATTGGCCTGCGGACTGAAAGGTCCCAGGTTCGATTCTGGTCAAGGACATGTACCTTGGTTGCGGGCACATCCCTAGTAGGGGGTGTGCAAGAGGCAGCTGATCGATGATTCTCTCTCATCGATGTTTCTAATTCTCTATCCCTCTGTCTTCCTCTCTATACAAAATCAATTAAACATATTAAAAAAAAAAAGTTAACCATCTCCACCCCCCCAAAAAAGAAAAGTGAGCGGGGGGGGGGCAGTTGTAAGCTCAATGGAGAGTCAGAAAAGGGGGCCTTGGGGACAGGTTCGGGGGTGAGCAGGGAAGAGCTGCCGCTGCCCATTGCTCCCCTGGTTGCAAGTCTCACAGGTGTTTGTCTGTGGGGGAACAAGAGGGGAAGGGAAAGGTCAGTGTGCTCTCAGGAGGGAGAGACAGGCTGGGTGGGTCCTTAGCCATGAGGGGTTGAAAAGCTGGGGACTTAAGGGGGTCTTCGGGGAGGATCTCCAGCGAATATTCACCAGCTTTTCCAGGTTATCCTCTCAGGTCCTGGTCTCCACGGATGGGGCATGGCCAGGGCAGGGTGCCATCACAGCTGGTCCTGATGCCACTTGCCTGCTTTTGCTGCTTTTCTGGGCGAGGAGCTGAAACACAACTGAGGCCCAGATGTTATCTCGAGGGAGGAAAGGTCAGGGGTCTACACTGCATGGCCAGCGATATGCCACGAAGGAAAGCCACCCCGGGGCGAGGCCTGGAACCAGCTTTGCTGGACACTCCGGGCTCTTCCTGGCGGTAAACTGCTCAGCCAGTTTGTGCACCTGTTTGTGTTTCCCCCTTCCACTTGCCAGGGAATTGCCTTGGCTTCTCACTCTCCTGCCTCAGTTGGATCGTCCCCATTACCAGAGAGGTACCTGTTGTGGAGAAAGCAGGGGAGAGACCTGCACAAATAATTACTTCGCTTGAGATGCCCCCCACTTCTCTATGAAGAAGCACAGTTCTTGGATTTATTGGTGAGAAAGTTGAGGCTCACGTGGTGCTGGACAGAGTGACTGGCAAAGAGTAGATGCTCCATACAGGTTTGTTTTCAAAAGAATGACTTCAAATGTTTGGTTCTTGACCTTAATGATCAAGGACAGAAAAAAGTGAAGCCACGGAGGCCGTGCTAGGCAAACTGTAAACTCAGGAAGGTGTGCCTTACCTCTCATTTTGAGCCCTTTCCCCAGCCCCCTACAGGGTAAATGCTGGTGGGCAGCACAGAGAAGGCTCTGTCTCATACTTGGGAAAGCAGTCAGGCTCCGGGCAGTTGCTCAGTGGTTAGAGCATTGGCCCATGGATGGAAGGGTCTGAGGTTTGATCCTCCATGTGGGAGGCGACCAATAGATGTGTTTCTCGTTGAAATTTCTCTCCCCACCTCTCCCTTCCACTGGCCTGAAAATCAATGGAAAAATTACCCTCGGCTTAGGAGTAAGAGGAGAAGTCAGGCACCAGCTGAAGGTAATGGCAGGTTTCTCTGTAATTGTTTATAAAGCACTCCGGGTTTCCTGTTTCACCCTCTGGGCAGGATGAGAGGTTTATTTCCCGTTGGTAGACGTGATGGCGGCGTCCAGAGAGCTTACGGTGTTTAGACAGCAATTTAAACTCACGTCTGGCTGACAGGAATGTGCAGTGTTTCCCGGGTCCCTAAGAAATCTAAGTATAACCCTGGCTGGGTATCTCACTGGTTAGAGCCTCCTCCTTATACACAAGGTTTTAGGCTCGATCCCCAGTCAGGGCACATATGAGAAGCAACCAATAAATGCATAAATAAGTGGAACACCACACTGATTTTTTTTTTTCTCTCTCTCTCTCTCTCTAAAATACATTAAATTAAAATTTAAGTGCTTTCAGTGGGGATCAGTTACCTAAGCTGGCGTGCTGTGTGGTAGGTTCCAGGAAGCCTCTGAGAAGTGTGAGTTTGGCTATCAAGTGATGCCCATGCCCTATTAAGTGAAAAAAGGGAACTTTGATCCCATTTTAATGTTAAAAATAACAATAACCCACTAAACCACGTTTTTCAAACTACGGGCAGCCCGTTAACGAGCTTGTGAAATTACTTCAGTGTCACTAAGTCGGACCACATGGAATCGCCTGTAAACAGAGTGAAACGGACGGGACGCGCTTCTGCCTTTGCCCAGGAAGGGAGGGTGTCGTGTTTGTTCCGGAGAGTTCCATGGATGTGTGTCCTGCTCCCTGAGGGTGAGGTCACAGACGTGTGGAAACCGCCGCAGTTCCACGGCCACCTCTGGAGGAGGCTTCAGGGAAACGTGAAGTGGTTACCGCAGGCACCTCCGGATTGCTGGACTTCACCCAGGCCACCGGCACGGCGATCCTGGGGTAAATGTCCTGTCCACGCTGTGGTCCTGGCCTCCCAGGGGCCAGGCAGCAGGACCGCAGCGCATGCCAATGGCAAAAGCCTGGGAGCCGAGAGAGCAGGAGGCCAGGAAGTGACTGCGTTTCCCTTTGGAATGCTGATTGCCCGTTGCTGGGAGTCCAGGCGGGGCCGGTGCCAGGCAGATTCTCATTGCCTGCTAGGAAGGAGGAGGGTGCTCTTAGGGGAGTGAAATCTGAAGGGAATACCTTTGGGAGAGAATGGAAAGAAGATCTGTAGTTATATATAACTGAATATATTCACGAGACAGAGTCATGAAACTAAAATACCTGCATCCTGACAGCTGTGAAATCTGCTTCTGAAGGGAGGGTTTCCGAGTGGCTGGTAGCTGCTTTCAGAGAGGTGTGTTTACCCACGTGTCTGCGGAGGACCACTTGACGCTGTAGTTTTACATTTAAGAGAGAGATTTTTATTTATTTATTTATTTATTTATTTTTTTTGAGAGAGAGCATTTTTGATCCAGCCATGCACTTCATGTATCACCTTTCAATCATAAAATAGAAATAAAACTTCTTATCCTGGACCAACACCACCAGCACCAACAAAAAGCCAGGGCAGGGCCAAAACCGGTTTGGCTCAGTGGATAGATCATCAGCATGCGGACTGAAGGGTCCCGGGTTCGATTCCGGTCAAGGGCATGTACCTTGGTTGCAGGCACATCCCCAGTGGGGGGCGTGCAAGAAGCAGCTGATCGAAGATTCTCTCTCATCGATGTTTCTATCTATCTCTCTCCCTTCCTCTCTGTACAAAATCAATAAAATATATTAAAAACAAAAAACAAAAAACAGGGCAGGGACCCTGTTTGACTTATAGTGGCTGATCATGAAGCATTAGCAAGAGGCATAGCTGAGTACTTAACCTATTTGTGTATATATACACATTCATTTTTTTTTTTAATATATTTTATTGATTTTGTACAGAGAGGAAGAGAAAGGGATAGAGAGTTAGAAACATCAATGAGAGAGAGTCATCGATCAGCTGCCTCTTGCACACCCCCTACTGGGGATATGCCCGCAACCAAGGTACATGCCCTTGACCAGAATCGAACCCGGGTCCCTTCAGTCCCCAAGCTGATGCTCTATCCATTGAGCCAAACCAGTCCCGGCTACACATTCATTTCTAAGCTTGCTCGAGATGGAATTTCTATTTGGTTCTTTAAGACGATAATGTACCCAGATGGGGTTTAAAGTTACAGTTTTGGGAAGAGAAACCCTGTGTGTCTTCTCTGGTGAAACACGCCTGTGACACAGGTGTTCCCTGTTTGGACCACGTGCTTCTGATGGAAGCACCGACCAGCACGCGGAAGCGGCACAGCCAAGTGGAGGTTTCGTCCTTATTTGTAAACCAAGAACTGGATGTCCGAACGTGCGGCCCGATCACTGAGAGGGCAGCTGCCTGCGGACCGGCCTGCCCTCGGGGTCCCGCCCTGTCAGGATGCGGGTGGCCTGCCCCAGCCAGCGCTCAGAGCGGCCGCAGTGAGGCCTCCAGGCTCCTTCGCCCGGTGTCAGGGAGGCGGAGGAGGCGTCCTCTCGGCTCCGGATGACAGAACGAGCTGTTCCTCACACCCTGCCCTCTCCTCCGGGCACAGGAGCCTCTCAGGCCTTTCCGGAAACGAGGAACGAGGAAGAATGGAGAACCTGGGCTCCGCCAACGACCCTCCGGAGCAAGGCTGTGCCCGCTGTGCCTCCCACGGCCTGGCAGGGCCTGGGGGCGGTTCGCTGAGCCTTCTCAGCAGCCCCAGAGCAGGGGCCTGTTACCTCCAGTGACAGGGGCGCCAGGAGCTCCACACACCCGCCCGGGAGCCAGCCGCAGCCTCTCCGCCAGCCCCCCGACCCCCGTCCCCTCCGTGTCACCTCCCCTCTCCAATGCTCTGCTCCAGTGTCGAATGTCTCAGAAAATAGTCTTCAAATATCTCGATGAGGCCCAGCCTGACCGCTGTTTACATTGGAAGCTGCTTAACCCCCACCCACATTCCCCAATCATTTCTTTCGCTTTATATTTCCCCACAACACTGCCGGCCTGCTGCCGGCCCAGCCCATCCCCTCGATGTATCACATCCATTCTCCCCACTCCCTCCCGCCAGAAAGGCAGTCCGCAGGGCAGGGATTTGGCTCTCTCTGTTGTTCGTTTTATTGAAAAGTCATCGATCTACATCGCAATGGAAGCTTAGATGTACAGGCTGGTGGTTTGATTTGCAAGTGTTGTGATTACCACAAGCTTCAGCTAACATCCATCTTCTCACACAGATGCAATGAAAAGCAAAAGGCCCGGCCGAGGTGGCTCAGTGTTTGAGCATTGACTTATGAGCCGGGAGGTCCCGGTTCAGTTCTGGGTCAGGGCACTTGTTCAGGCTGAGGGCTCAGTCCCCAGAGTGGGGCGAGCAGGAGGCAGCCAGTCACTGACTCTCTCTTGAATCCATGGGGCCCGGAGGTGTCAGTCTCCCAAGAGGCCTCCGTTGGCCCCCGCCTCCAGCCTCAGCCAGAGGGGCCCTGAGAGGGACACATCCCTTCCCTTTACATTTAGGGAAACTGAGCTCCAGAGCGTGCACGGGAGCTGCTGGTGAACAAAGTTCTTCTGGGACCCTTCCCAGCCTTTCTTCTGGATGGGCCCTCCCGGCTTCAGGACCCACCCGTGGGAGGCCCCGTCTTCGCTGCTGCTACACAGGCTCCCCTCCCTCCCCATGCTGACCCCCAGCAGGCTTCTTCTGCCCTTCTGAGGGCCCTGTGCCCCGTCATTTCCACTCCGGGCCCAGGAGACGCTGGCTGGAGGGGTGAGGCGTAGCCAGTCTGCCAGGCTCTGCCACCTGTACTTGGCTGAGTCCTTCCTCTTGCTGAGTCTCTAGACTATCCACGTCCCTCCCTGGGGGAGCTCGCAGAGCCATTCATGGTTAAACATTACCCACCCCATCCACCTCTCCCTGCCACTCCTCAGCGGCATCAGGCCATACACAGGCTTCTCCATCTTCCTCCGGGTCGTGGCCTCCTGGGAGGGGCCACAGCACACTTACGGACGGTGCCCACGCAAAGCCGGGGTCTGGAGAGGGGAAGACGGGGGTGAGGGTTCGGGTCTGGGGCCAGGGACTCCCGCCCCAGCCGCCTCCTCCCCGCAGGATGGTTTTGCTTAGTTGCATCATGCCTGTGGCTCCCGGATCCCCCTGCGGACTGCCTTAACGAGCCCCGGAGGTGCTGTCTCAGGCGAGACGCCCAAACCTCTAGTTTCCGGGAAACAAAAATAATTCGGAGAAATCGGGGCTGTCTCACTGCCTGGGGTGCCCTGCTCCGGCCTCTGCTCCCAGGCCCCTCAAGTAAGGAATGCCGGGCCCAGCTGTCACACCCAATCCCATCCACCCAGCTTTCTGAGTCTTCCTCCTGCACGGTTTCCGCTTTCATTGCATGTTTACACGTGCATGTTTATCATCATAACAGGCATTCCCTTCAGATCTCGTCCCGCTGTGACGGTCACACAATCGGATGTGACGGACTCACAGGCTCGGGGACCATGAGCTTTGAACCCCCAAGCGGGGGGCAGCTGTGACCCTCTATGGAGCCCTCCCTCTGCAGGCGCCTCACCGGCCTCAGCACGTCTCATCTCCACAAAACGGGTTCTATGCCCACCTCACAGGCTGGACGCAGAGGGCAGGCAGGGGGAGTCACGCACCTGCGTCGCGTAGCTTGCTTGGCAGCTGCGCCGCTGACAGACACCTTCTCTGAGTGAGAACCCAATCCTTTGTGCATCTGCCCTCCTAGGTAAGGGCCACTGACTGTTTTTGCCTCAACATTGGTCTCAGAGGGTTTGGTGTGACTTCTGGGTTCCTCCAGTAAGCCTGTGAGTGGGTAGTGTTTTTTTGTAATTAAAAATATATCTCATTGAATTTTTACAGGGAGGAAGGGAGAGGGATAGAGAGTTAGAAACATCGATGAGAGAGAATCATCCATCAGCTGCCTCCTGCACACCTCCTACTGAGGATGTGCCCGCAACCAAGAACCTGGTAGGGTCCCCGGAGCCTGGTGGGGAGATTACGGTCAGAGCTCCGGGCACCCCAGGCAGTGTACATGCCCTTGACCGGAATCGAACCTGGTAGGACCCTTCAGTCCTCAGGCTGACGCTCTATCCGCTGAGCCACACCCGTGTTGGCATGAGTGGGTATGTGTATCATCCCCCACCGCCTTTGCAGGCGAGGAAACTGAGGCTCAGCCGGGTGAATCGCCTTCTCAAAGCTGCAGGCTCCAGGGTGCCGGAGCGGGGCCGTGAACCTGGCTCGTCCGGCCCCAGGGCCCCTCGGAGCCTGCCGTCCCCGCGGTCTTGCCTGGCGCTGTCCCTGGCAGCCTGCCCTCCCTCCCCAGCTCCCTCCCCGCACCTGGGCTTTGATCTCCCTCCTCCACCTCCTCCCAGAGAGCAGCCCCAACCGGAAGGCCAGTGCCTGTGAGGAAATTCCAGCCACGTGAGCCACCGGCCAGGGATTCTGGGCAGCCCGTGGCTTTAGGAGAAACTGAAACTTGGCTCGCCGGGGGCGGAGTGGTCACTGGGGATTTAAAAAGCCACCACTTCCTTAGGTTCCCAGAGGGCACTGGGAGGTCACAGCAGCCGAGGGGCACCCTGAGCAGATGTGAGCCTCTGCCCAGTGCCCAGGCCATGCACCTCTGTGCGGGGGAGGGGCTGCTGACCGGGACGGTGAGTACAGGGTCCGGGGAGAGGGGAGGGGAAGGGGCACGTGCCTGAGGGTCCCCGGAGCCTGGTGGGGAGATTACGGTCAGAGCTCCTCATCCCAGTTCTGTCCACGGGCGGGGCCCCCCTGACTCCGGCTTCAGTTCCCTCGGGGGTCAGAATGAGGCTTCCAGCTCTCACATTGCACATCCAGCCTCCAGGTTAGAACTTGGCCTCCATAGTGCTCTCTCCTATCCCACCTGTTCTCCCTTCACTGCCCTGAGGCAGCCTCTCCCACCTCCCCAAATTATCGCTGAAGGCCCTGCCCCTCTCCCGAGACCCAGGACCCAGAGGCCACCCCTTCTCTCGCTGCGGATCTTCCCCCCAAGCCCCAGTCTCCCCTCTCCTGAGACTCCTCAGCCCCCGCCCCCGCCTTTGGAACGGGCCTGCTGTGGCCAGGGGCCTAGGAGCACAGCGTCCTCAGCCAGGAGGCCGGTCTCACCTGAGCTCCCTGCGATCAGGACACACCTCCCCGAGGGACCTGCGTGAGGGGAGGCTGGTTCCGGGGCCTCCAACACTCCGTCTGGCCTGACCTTCCAAACCTCTGGGCACTTGGGTTAAATAGTTCATCTAAGTACCATGGACCCCTCATCTGGGGTCGGGGGTCGGGGGTCAGGGAAAGGTCACAGCTGTCACTGTGAGTCCACTCTCTCATCAGAACCAGCTTCACGCTTTCACGCTAGGCTGTTGCCCTGCTAGAATGTGAGCGACTTGAGGGCGGGAAGGAAAGGGCCCTGCGGTGCCCCCCTCGCTCACAGCCTGGCACACAGCAGGTGCTCAATAAGTCGGAGCTGAGTGGGTGACCTTTGGGCCTGAGTGGAGCACGGAGCAGTCAGGCCCGCCCCCTCACGACGGGCAGCTAGGGAGACCACTGACTGTGCCGCGCCTGCGATGGGGGGTGGGCTCCAAGGGAGCCAGAGGTGCTTCTGGGAGAGAGGGGACCTTTGGGGACTTGACTCGGGGAGGGCGTGGCTTTACAAAAGGCCAGGATGGAGGGCACAGGCCGCTGTGGGCCCGAACCCTTAGCTTGTGCCCTGCAGGACCCTGAGGGGCAGCAGAGGCAGCTGAAGAAGCAGAAGAACCGGGCGTCTGCCCAGCGCAGCCGGAGGAAGCACACGGACAAGGCAGACGCCCTGCACCAGGTGGGATCCTGCCCTTCGCCCCCTGCCTGCGCTGACCCGGCCCGGCTCCCCTCCGTGCCCACCCTCCCAGGGCTCACGTTGCTATGGGGAGCCGGGTAGACACAGGAATGGCTCTCGAGGTGACTGGGATGCCAGTGGTGATGGCTGGGGGACCAATTAAAGCAGGGAAGCCAGGGGAGTGTGTGTGGAGGGGGTGGAAACCCAACAAGGGACGCCCTCCTTGAGTGGTGACATTTGAGCAGCATAAGGTGGCGAATGAATGGATGGATGGATAGATGGAGGGAGGGAGGGACTCCGTTTCCGGAGGCGAATGGAAGCTTTGGAGAATGTAGGTGAAGGGTGACCTAACGGCATTTTAAAATGTCATTCCACGTGCAGAGACCAGCCTGAATGGGCTGCTGGTGGCTGTGACGCCTGTTGGGACTTAGAGTCCATGACCTAAGCAACGTTTTTATGTAGAACATTCTTCCAACTTCTTCTTTCTAAAAGTGTCCCCAAGAGGAGGGTGAGGGAGGAGGCCGAAGGAGGTCATTCAGCCTCATGAGCCGAAGAAGTAGAGTTGTGTGTTTTTTTAAATTCTTCATTGTTTAAACTTAACTGGTGGTCCATGAGGTCTGGAAAGTTGGCGACCACTGGTTGAAAGTATTACTATGTCTCCTTTTAGAGTTCTTTCTGCTTCTTCCACCTCTGCTCACAAGTGGTTGTTTAGAAATGGAGGTTGATTTTTGTCCCCGTGGGCTCTCAGAACCCAGCAGGACAGGGCCTGGCCCGAGCTGACCCAGGGACGCTGACCAGGACCGGGGCCTGGCGGGCGGGCAGGAGGAGGCGTCCGGGCAGGAGGAGGCTCGGCTGCGGGAAAAGTCACCATCAGGATCGGCCGTGGGAGGGGGCGCTGGACGGTGTCCAGGCAGAGGGGACAGGAAGTGCTCTGGGGAAGGAGAGCCCATCCAGGGGCCGGAAGTGGGCGGGTGGGAAACGCTGAGAGAGAAAGCCGAAGTGTGAGCTGGGGTTCCCGCGCACAGGGAGTGATGAGCTAAAGGCTCTGTGTTTGGCTAATGACAGCGGCCCAGTGGCTCCCAGGCCAAGAACTCGGGTGGTTTGGGAGTCGCCCAGGGAGGAGGCTGGTGGCTCCCAGGTGAGTGAGGACAGGGGCCGCACACCTGAGCCCAGGAGGAGTAGATGGGGGAGACGTGGTGGTGGTGGTGGAGGCCTGGCCAGAGGGAGCCAAGGGCCCCCACTTGCGCGTATCTTTCCCTCGTTGGGAGCCTGAGGGGTGGTGAGGGGTGGGGTGCATAGGGCTGGTGCTGAGCCCCTAGTGCTGACCTCCCCCCCCACCCCCCTCTGCAGCAGCACGAGTCCCTGGAGAGACACAACCGAGCTCTGCGGAAGGAGATCCAGGACCTGCGGGAGGAGCTGGAGTGGCTGGGTCGGACCCTGCACATGCACGAGCGTCTGTGCCTGATGGGCAGTGCCTCCTGCTCGGCTCCTCTGCCCCCCGGCTGCTGGGGCCAGGCCGGGCGGCCCCTGGGCCCCGAGCCACCCAGGCAGCACGGCTGCCGGGAGTTTGTGCTCCAGCCCCCAGCCTCCTCTCCCCCGGCTCAGCAACTCTCTCCACACCCGCAGCCTGGGGCCTCCCCTGGCCCCCTCCTGTGCCCTCCACCCTGGCCGTCCCCGAGCCCCAGCCCATTGGCGCCTTCCTCCAAGCTCAGAGTGCCCCTGCCCCACTCATCAGCCCAACCGGCCCCCCACCAGCCCCCTGGGCCGGAGCGCCTTGGCAGGGGGAAGCTGGTGCCCTCCCCGCTCAGGCCCTCGGCTGCTTTGGGGCTGGCCCGTCTGCAGGACACGGAGCACAAGCCTGCTTTCTCGGCAGCAGACCCGCCTGGGCTCCAGGCCTTCCCGCTGCTCTCCTCCGCTCAAGTCCACTTCTGCCCCGGCCCCTGAGCTGGGCTGGCCTTCCTCGGGCTCAGGGAGCGGCCTGGGCACACAGATCTGCTCCATGGCACGGCCCCTGGCCCAGGACTTCCCCGGGAAAAGGAAACCGGCACCGTGTGCCCGCGACCGACCAGGCCCTGCCAGCACCGCTGTCTTATCTCCCCTCCACGGTCGTCCTGCACAGTCCCGACGCCACTTTTTCCGAGAAGGAGACAGAAGCTCCGAGAAGGCAGCAGCGACTTGTCCAAGGTCACACGGCCTTTCTTGGGACCAAGAACACCACTATCAGCCGCTTCCGCTGCTGGTGGGATCCTGCCCAGGCCCCGCAGGGCTGGAGTCCGGAAGGCAGGCTGGTGTGCGGATGTATGAGGCTGGGAGCAGGGAGGAGCTCTCCCATCTGCTTTGCGATTCCCAGGGCCATGGGGCACCGAGTCCCTGAAACCGTGTCCTGGCGAGGGGTCCAGAGTCCAAGCCTGTGTGGGGAGAAGCCTGGAGGGACTCTTCCTCCCCCCGGCAGGGCTTTCGGTTTCAGACTGAACCGGGGGAGGGGGCTGGGGAGAAGCCTGGACAGTCTCCCTGGGGTTTCAGCAGGTGGGGAGCCTGAGCCACACTAAGACCTGCAGGGCCACTTCCCAGGCTTTTCCCAGATAGCTCCTGCCTCCCTCCGGCCCCAGGCCCGTGGGGAGGGGGAGTGACGTCCCAGAGAGCCTGCACCTGGGCACAGAAGGGGAGGGAAGAGTGAGGGAAGGGCCGGGTGCAAGGTTCCTTTAAGCACGCTGGGCCTGAGCCTGGCAGGGGGAGCCCTGTCTTCCTCACAGCACCCCTCCTGTGCGGCCCCAGGCCCCTCCATCGGTGGCCCTCACTGCTCTTCCGTCTGATGGTTCCGGGAAGAACAGGGCCCGGCGACCAGGCTGGCGCTCAGCTGCAGCGTCTGCTCCAAACGGGGTTCTCACTCAGACCAGGACAGGCGCCGGAAGGTCAGCAGGCACTCTGCTCGCGAGCGTTAGACACACCCCAGGTGCCGAGCCTGTCTCCGCTCATTGCCATGGGAAATAAAGTGCTTCCTGGTTCCTTTGGCTTCGGCTAATGGTTTAAAGCTCTGCTTGTACACTGTACACTGAAAACAAAGGCCTCTGAAGGGAGAGGGAGAGTTTTCTAGGATCTCAGGGGTGGGCAGTCCCTCATGGACCTCCTTATCTAACCCCCCTCCCATATTTCAGATGAAAAAACTGAGGCCCAGCCAAAACTGGTTTGGCTCAGTAGACAGAGCATCGGCCTGCGAACCGAAAGGTCCCGGGTTCGATTCTGGTCAAGGGCATGTACCTTGATTGCAGGCACATTCCCAGTGGGGGGTGTGCAGGAGGCAGCTGATTGATGTCTCTCTCTCTCATTGATGTTTCTAACTCTATCCCTCTCCCTTCCTCTCTGTAAAAAAAATCAATAAAATATGTTTAAAAAAAAAACAACAACCCTGAGACCCAGGGATGGGATGGACTTGCCCAAGGTCACCCAGCAAGAGTAGGTGCGATGGTCACAGGATTGTGGGTGGCAGCAGCTGGGTCACCAGAGGTTCGGGGAGAGCAGGCTGGTGGGAGGGAAGCCGAGATGCTAATTAGAGGGACCAGAATTGATATAATGGCACATGGACCAGGGCTCGATGGGGGATCAGGAGACCAGGTCTGACTTGTATCTCTATAGCTAGAATTTGTCAGGCACCTGCTTGTTTTACTTGGGTTAATTCAGTGACACCCCTAATAACAGTGTTCAGAAGGGGAAACTGAGGCCCAGGGGAGTTAAGTACCAAGTTCAAGGTCACACAGCTAGGAAATGGCATAGAACTGCTGCAACATCAGGACCGTATGGCCACAGGCTATGTTGGCTCCCCATCTTTTTCCTGTAGGCCCTGCACGGAGGGACAGCCACAGGCTAATGGACATGACCCAAGAAGGTCTAAGCCTTAAGTTTATTTATTTATTTATTTAAAAATATATCTTATTGATTTTTTTACAGAGAGGAAGGGAGAGGGATAGAGAATTAGAAAAATGGGTGGGAGAGAAATATCAATCAGCTGTCTCTAGCACACCTCCTACTGGGGATGTGGCCACAGCCAAGGTACATGCCTTTGACCTGAATCGAACCTGGGACCTTTCAGTCCATAGCCCGATGCTCTATCCACTGAGCCAAACCAGTTAGGGCAGCCTTCCTTAAGTTGATAACAAATAAGAGAGGGGTGTGACTAAATTAGCCTTGGTACACTCATACAATGATGACTGAAGAGGCCCTGAGAACAAGGAATGCTTTGAAGAATATTTAATGAGATGAGAAAATGCTTTGACGTATTAAGCAGAAGAAAAAAAAATAGAATGTGCAACTGTCACTATAGTTGATATTCTGCTTGTTTAAAAAATATAAACTGAAAGGTGGGGCCCATGGGGCTCCCTGAATTGAGGAAGCAAAGCTAGGAGCCAGGGAGAAAATTGGTGACACGTCACCAATGTCAGGCTATAGATGGAGTTAACAGGACAAAGTAACAAAGACAAGAACAATACACAAAGAAAAAACTTAAGAGCTCTACAGAGGCATCTAAACTTGGGTATGAAAAATCATCTAACCCTTAAACTGAATTCTGAAAGCCTAAGTAAAAAAGGGAAGAAGAAAGGACAATCCCAGCAGAGAGACCAGGATACAAAACATACGTGAAACTGTGCTAGAATAAAGAAAAGAGTATCGCCTGGCCAGTGTGGCTCCATAGTTGAACATCAACTTATAAACCAGAAGGTCATAGTTAGATTCCTAGTCAGGGAACATGCTTGTGTTATAGGCTCAATCCCCACTAGGGGGCGTGAAGGAGGCAGCCAATCAATAATCAATTGATGTTTCTATCTCTCTCTTCCTCTCCCTTCCTCTCTGAAACAAATAAAAATATATTTAAAATATATATATATATATAAACTGAATCGAAGAAGTGGGCGGAGGTAGGGTTGATTTTGGAGGGATATGTGTTGATATCTGCGAAGCCATCACTATTGCAGGAGCCTTCCACATGCTCAAATAGCTGGGAAGAATCTATAGCTGAGCGGATCTATTGCTACATAGCAAATTACTCCAAACCTTATCCTCTCACGGTTTCTGTGGGGGCAGGAATCTGGGCGTGGCTTCGCTGGGTGCCTCTGCTCCGGACTCAGGCTCCAACCAAAATATTGGCCAGGGTTGCAGCCACTTGAAGGCTCGACTGGGGGAACTCAGTTCTAAGCTCTCTGCGAGGGCTGTCCTCAGGCCTCAGAGGGCCCCTTCCAAGTCCACTACCAACGCTGGCGGCAGGAGTCTGTTCCTCGTGGTTGTTGGACGGGGAGCTCAGCGTCCTGCAGGCTGTCGGCTGGAGAGGTAAGCTCCTTCCTGCGCTTCTCTAAGCCAGCTGAGAGCGAGGAAAGGTGAGCACATGGAAGCCACAGTCTTTCTGCAACCTAATTTCAGAACCGACATCCTGTCATGTTGACTGTATTCTAGCAGTAGAGGCAAGTCCCTGGATCCAGCCCACACTGGAGGAGAGAGGACACAAAAACCAGGAAGGGCTCAGGGGCATCCAAACCCCGCGCCCCCCCAGCTCCTTTCCTGGAGACACAGCCTCAGGTTAGCCTTGCAGCCGCTGCCTCCTCAGAGGTGTGCAAGAGGCGGCTGATTGATGTTTCTCTCTCATTGATGTTTCTGACTTTCTACCCTTCTCCCTCTCTGTAAAAAATCCATAAAATATATTAAAAAAAAAAAAAAAGATCTGTCCACCCAGAACTATGAATGTATGTGACCTTATTTGGAAAAAGTATCTTTTAAAATGTATATATATATATATATATATATATATATATATATATATATATATATATATAATTGATTTTTTTACAGAGAGGAAGAGAGAGGGATAGAGAGTTAGAAACATCAATGAGAGACACATCGATCAGCTGCCTCTTGCACACCCCCGACTGGGGATGTGCCCACAACCAAGGCACATGCCCTTGACTGGAATCGAACCTGGGACCCTTCTGTCTGTAGGCTGATGCTCTACCCACTGAGCCAAACAGGTTTCGGCTGAAAAAAATATCTTTGCAAATGTAATTAAGTGAAGGAACTAAAGCTGAGATCATCCTGGGTTACCCAGGCGGGCACTATATCCAAGGACCAGTAAAAGCAGGTCACCAATAACAGGAAGAGAAGACTCGGAGAGAGGCCCTGTGAAGACACAGGCGGAGACTGGAGTTCGGCAGCCTCTTGCCAATGCAAGGTCAGGAGCCACCGGAGGCTGGAAGAGGCAGCGAAGGCTGCTCCCTCGGCCGGCAGAGGGCGCCTGGACGCAGGGAGGCGGGGAGGAGGCGTTCAGGTGGGCGGTGGTGGTGGCCACGCCCGGTGGGGAGAGGTCAGATTCAGGTAGCGGATGGGATGTGCTCACGGATTGGAGGAGGGGGAGGGGACGAAGGAAGTATTATGTTGTGGTTTGGGGCCTGAGCAATTGGTGGTTGGTTGTGCCAGGGACCGAGGAAGATTGAGAAAGGAGCGGTGTAGAGTGTGTGTGTGTGTGCGCGCGTGGCGGGGGAATCAGGAATCTTGTTTGGGCCACGTTCAATTTGAGATGCTTATTTGTCATCCAACTGGATAAAAAAGAGTGCGTGTGTGTGTGTGTGTGTGTGTGTATGTAGGGGGGTGAGGGGAGTGGCCGGGGAGAGGTCAATGGGAGAAAAGGAGACTCATGTAATACTTTATTTATAAAATATAATGTTATATTTATTTAAATATATCTTATTGATTTTTTACAGAGAGGAAGAGAGAGGGATAGAGAGTTAGAAACATTGATGAGAGAGAATCACCGACCAGCCACCTCCTGCACACTCCCACCGGGGATGTGCCCACAACCAAGGTACATGCCCTTGACCGGAACCGAACCTGGGACCCTTCAGTCCCCAAGCGGACGCTATCTATCCATTGAGCCAAACCGGTTTTGGCTCATGTAATATTTTAAATAATAAAGAATTTAAATAAAAAAAATGTTTATATCAATAATACCTACATTTCAGAAAATGGAAAACAATCCAGATGTTCCATCCATAGTACAATGAATACATTGTGGGATATTTTGCTCAAGGTAATGCTACAGGGCAAAGAGAATGATCGGATTACAGCCACTTAGAACAACATGAATACACGTCACCAAGCTAATGTCAGGCTATAGAAACCAGACACAAAAGAGGGGACAATTTGTATAATTTGTTTATATAAAGTCTAAAAATAGGAGAAAAGAACCCAATCTACACTGTTAAAAGTCAAGGTTATGGTTACAGTGCAAGGACAGCACCCAGAGGAGGACACGGGGGGCCTTCTGGGTACTAATACGTTCTATTTCTAAATCTGACAATCTGGTGAGCTGTATGTTTATGATCTGCGCTCTTTTTTGTGTTATGTCTGATATACTTCAATAAAAAGAGGGTGGCCCAGCTGGTGTGGTTCAGTGGTTGAGCACTGACCCATTAACCTGGAGGTCAGCAGTTCAAATCCTGGCTGGGGCACACGCCCAGGTTTCAGGCTGGATCCCCAGTGGGGTGTGTGTGTGTGTGTGTGTGTGTGAGTGTGTGGCAGCTAATCATGGTTTATCTCTCATCATTGATGTTTCTCTCTTTCTCTCCCTTCATCTCTGGAATCAATAAAAATATATATTTAAAAGTAAAATCAATAAAAACATCTTTCTTTAAAAGAGAGAGCAAGAGAAAATAAAAGACGGTGAATGGAAGAAGCATGTCACAGCTGACAAAGTAAGTGCCTCCATAAGCGTTAGCTATTGCGAAGGAATGACGGAAAGCCCATGCTTCGTCTCCAAGTGAGACGCGTGAACAGTCAGAGCCATGGCCGGATTAGAGTCTGTCCCCAAGGAAGGCTGGAGGAGAAGCAAGAGGCTCGGGCTGGTGGCTGGGACAGGACGGAGGACAGACCCCGAGACCTTTCCCGGCAGATGGTGGCTCAGTGCCTCTGGGGCATTGGTACCATGCAGAACGCAGACTCTTCCTGGGGGACTGTGGGTATCTGTGTGTGTGTTCCTGCAAGTGCCATCCCTTTTCAAAATGGCTGCCGGGACCAGTTTGGCTCAGTGGATAGAGCGTTGGCTTGGGGACTGAAGGGTCCCAGGTTCGATTCCAGTCAAGGGCATGTACCTTGGTTGCGGGCATATCCCCAGTAGGGGGTGTGCAAGAGGCAGCTGATCGATGACTCTCTCATCGATGTTTCTAACTCTCTATCTCTCTCCCTTCCTCTCTGTACAAAAAATCAATAAAATACATTAAAAAAAA